TATTTATCGCTCCAAGGACCTTTTCAACCTCTGTGTAAATTCTAGAATATCCATGTGTGGTCCCTGATAGGTAGGCATCTCTATTTCTGCCATGTCGTCTTGTCGATACACACTCTGGAAGAACTCCAGTAAGGTGTATTACTGTGTTTTCCTTGGTCTACTTTAATGTTCACCTGTTATTTCTCCCAACCTCCTTAAGAAAGACGTGGATTGACCATCATTAGCCGCGTCTCTTCAATCCCACTAAAGGAGTTGACAACTAACCTATGCGAACGTTATTTGAATGCATGTGAAAAGTTTGCGCATAAAATTTTCATCGACTCCACACATCCGCTACACGCTGACCTAACTTCCTGTTGTTCCCATCCCTCAACTAGATCATAATATCGTTGTGTTCCCTCTAGAATAAACATTTATTGTAACTCCACATCATCCTCATTAGCACGTATTCTTGTTAACAAAGAACAGGTTTTCACAGAATTTGTTAACAGTTTTAGAACTTAAATCTCTTTTTTCATCGGTATTTTCATTTTTTCCCTTGCTCCAAACTGTATATTTTTAACTGAAATGTGGGCTTCGTGCTTGCAGAAGTTATTAAAATACAATACAATAAGTCCCCACATTATGTCTTGACCCTCCCTTGTGTATGGCAACCACAGTTGCTGTTTTCTAGTCCTGTGGTATCCTGCCGTGCTCTAGAGCTCTGATGTACAGGTGCCAGAGTGGGCCCCCCAGAACCTCAGCTATGTGTTTAGCCAGGGCTGGGTGAATATCATCCGGTCCGGCGGATTTGGTGTCGTTAAGCTCACCAAGAGTCATACGCACCTGTTCCAGCCCCACGTGCAAATTGGGGATACCCGGTCCAGAGGTGTGGATGTCAGGTTGGTTAGTGACGACTTTATCTAGCTCATGTACACTTTCGAAGTATTCCTTGAATCGCACTGCTACATCCATCTCATGGGTTACAACTTCTCCATCTTCCAATATCAGAGGCACTACCTTTTCACTGAGCCCTCCCCTAGACTGGACATAACGGTAGTACTTCTTTGGCTGGTATTAACACAAGTTGCAAGCTTGAACTGGTATTGACGTTTGAGCTCCCGCTGTATTTAATGTTTAATTTTGAAAATCCTTCCGAACCCATGATGAGTCAGATTGATATAACTCTATCTGTGTGTTGCTTCTCTATTGACAATTCTCAATCCCAAGAACCATACATTATTCTTTGTCTGTTAATTCGATGCCCGGCATATTTAAATTTGGCGTGGTCAGAGAACTTGAGCGATTGTTTGGCTCTCTCTGGACACCATATTTGGCTCGCTTGCTTGAGCGCTTTTGGCCGCATAATTGAGGTTTTCTTTATAATCGAATTCTTCCAAACGCCTTCCTCCGAATGCCATTCGGTTTAAGCAACGCCGAATAGTCCTTCCAACTTTTCATTGACAATGTTTGTAAAGGTTTAGACTCTGTTTTTCTTAGACGATAACCTAGTGGCTAGCTCATCGCGCAAAGAACATCTGGCACACCTCCGAGCACTTTTTGATCGTCTGTCACAGCACAGTGTCACGGTCAACGCACAAAAATGTGTTTTCGGTGCCTCCAACATTGATTTCCTCGGTCACCGCATCGCAGCCACTGGTATCGAGCCACTAAGTGACAAAATGCAGGCGGTAATAGACTACCCGGAGCCCACTACGTTTAAGCAGCTCCGACGTTTCGACGGTTTAGTCAATTTTTACCGTCGTTTCATCCCTCAGTGTGCACAACTGATGCAGCCACTCACTGATCTGCTTAGGGGTAAAACAAAAACTTTAGTGTTCACACAAGCAACTCGAGACGCCTTCGATGCGTTGAAACGAGCAATCAGCAAGGTTGCAACATTAACCCNAGCACTCATCACAGATGCGTCCGACCACGCAGTTGGCGCCGTCTTCCAACAACAAGTGAGACAGGAATGGCACCCCATAGCTTTTTTCTCTAAGAAGCTCCAGCCGGCCGATTCAAGGTACAGCGCCTTCTGCCGAGAACCCCTGGCTATCTTCCTCGGTATCCGCCACTTCCGCAACCTCCTCGAAGTACGAGACCTCACGGTCTTCACCGACCATCACCCTATCACTGACGCCATTAAGTCTATCGACAGACACTCTCCACGAGAGTCATGACACTTTGATTGTATCACACAATGTACGTGCA